GAGAGAGATGATGATTCTGAGGCCACCCTATCCCAGCCATATTATTCACATATCGAGTCCCAACAGCAACAGTGTAGGGATGAGCACGACAGTGCAAGTGAGCATGAAGGATGGACAATCTTCGGGGATTTTAGATTGGAAACACAACAAAACATTAACACTCAGGGATTTGGGAATAGTCAGACGCCTGCTAATATCGATGATTCGTTTTTAGATCGAATCAATGAATTGTTAAACGAATTCAATCAATAGCACCAGTGTGACCAAGAAGAACAATAACGTCGTCTATCATTTTATTTTTAGATCATATGTTACTAATTTTATGCTTTATTGTAGTTCATGTATGTTGATATACTTATTCCATGATAATTATATGTTTATCCTTTTGTGTGATGTAAATTAAATGCTGAATGGTGGTTCATGCAGGGAAAGAACATATCAATATTCGCATATTCATTCAAAAACATGAAAATTCTTAATGGAGTACCCTCATTTCTTATTGAATTCCTAAAAAACAATATTTATAATGAATTTTAATAATTTTTTAGGATTTTTTTTAAGCTTTGTTCTGACCGATTCACCCGATTCCCGATCCGAATCGCCGATTCGTCGATCCGATTTTTTGGAAGCCCGATCCGAGTCACCGATCCGTTTTTTAAACCATTGGTATCCACTCATCTTATATTTTAGGCTAAAAAGTGGATATGGTTATGTGGAAGACCGTAATACTTAGGTATCCTAGAAGATGTGGTTTCCAGAAATCAAATACGACTAGAGCCTTTAGGTCCCTTAGATAAGGTGTTTAAGCTATAAAGAGAATGACACAAGCCGTTTTCAGTCACATCATATATGGCAATTGAGGAAGGGAAACTTAAGGGAAAATTACAAATAATCTCACCTCCAAGACTAGAGTTTCGATGTAAGTAACCTTCAACTAAATTTTTTTTTTCTCACTTTTCACACTTCAAAATAAACTTTCTTGACAAATATTCCCCAACAAAAAAAAAAAGAGGCTAAACTACCTTCCATTACTTTTACCCACGCATCTATGTCCTTTTTCCCATGAAAAGGCGGTCCGGTGTATTCTTAAGACGGGTGGTAGTGTAATGTCAGTCCAATAAATAGCAGTGGCGGTCCAAGACTGACAAAGAACAGTCCAGCAATAAGCCCATGCAGTTTGCACGGCCAAAAAGCTGTCCAACAATGGCCCACGCAGTTCAGCAATAGGCCCAAAGTACGGTCCAATAATGTCAAAAAGCAGCCCACCACTTTTTTTAGTTTAACGGGTCCGACAATGTTAAAGAGCGGTCGGATAACCCACATAAACCTATGTGAATGTCCGACCAAAATTAAATTTTTGTGTACGAAAAAAGGTATTTTCGTCAAAAATATATATATATATATTTATTTGGGGGTTATTTGCTAGAAAAATATATTTTGGGGGAAAAAAAAGTAAGAAAATAATTTTAAGTGGGGTGAAAAAAATTTTAAGGGGGGGGGGGGTAACTTGCATAGAAAGTCTAGTCTCGAGAGTTATTTGTAATTTTTCCAAAACTTAATAATGTATTTTTTTTGCTCCTATCACTCAATACTATTTGACTGTAAAAATGATTTTTGATTCACGAGCTTCCAAATTCAACGGTAGTGTATTTTTGCAAATCCATTAAAAAATGGGTGCCGTTTGTATAGTGCCGAGGTTGCAATCCATTAAGAAATAGTGTCGAAAAATGTAGTTTCAATATCGAAAATCTTTGTGATAACCTAAAACTACATTTTCATATCTAATTGTAAAATATCAAGTTTGAAAAATAGTGTAGATTGAGCATATCTAAAAAAAACTTGAAAATCTTGAAAATTGACAGTTTAAAATTGCATTATAAGATGCACTATTTTCAAAACTTAAAATCAATTTTTTCTCATGTCCATGCATGGTGCACTCTAAAAATAACAGAGTACATCGAATGATTCTACATAAGGAAAACAAAACAAAAGCAGAGGAAAAATAAAAGCATGGTGAAAGGACAAAGGGAGAAAAGAGAAGGGTGAGTAGAGGGTGTGAAGGGCTAGAAGAGATTGGGAACAGATAAGGAGAAGAAGAATAGAGAAGAAGAGACGAGAAATGAAAAGAGAAGTAACCTTAGCTGGCTCTGGCAAGGGAGTCTGCTTCACTATTCATCTCCCTAAAAATATGGTAGAAGAGGATTGGTCTATGCAGAAAGAATGTCATCCACTATTCATTTCCCTAAAAACATGGTAGAAGAGGATTGGTCAATGCAGAAAGAATGTCATCCACCAAATGTCTCCATCTCGAAGGTGTGGAGTCTGAGTTGCAAAAAACATGCAACTTGGAGGAATCTCCTACGATAATGATATTGTTGTGAGGTTGGTGCAACTTGGAAAACCCCCCATATGAAGTGCGCGTAGTTCTATTTCAACTGTTGTCCACAGTTGGAGGGGTATATAATAAGAGATGATAGTGGTTCATGAATTGTCCCTTAGTATATCACCTGCACCTACTGAGAGAATACTGCCAGGAGATTTAGGGTCACACTTTGAGCTGCCATTAAAATTCAACTTATACCACCTTATCTTAAGTGGCTCCCAGTTTGACGTTCTCTATGGTCGATTTCTGTCGTACCAAATGAGGATACATAGTTTGCTAAAGTTATCTTCTCAGGGCCTTAATCTATATTAGCTTGAATTCAAGATTCTCACATTGATTCAGCCTTAAAATTAACCACTTCCTTAGAGCAATGGTTACTATAAAAAAATACCAGCATTTCTTTCTCCCCAAATCTGCA